AATCTATAGCCCTAGACTGGTATGGTAAAAGAAACGTTTGTGTAACTGTTCCATTTATAATTTTTGTTGACGGTACTTCTACCATAGAATATGTGACATACTTCTAGTTCGTCTCCCGTGGGCAGTGACAGCAGTCTCAGGAGCTCAGCCGTGCTCGAGGCGGAGTTCCAATCTTTAGCAAAGACGTTCCTGGAGGAGGTTCTGTACGGCGGCGGCGTGGAGGACAGGGCGGTCCTGCGGGCCTGCTGCAGCAGATCACCGAAGCATTGCTGTATCAATGCGCTGGACATGTCCGCGCCCTGGGGTCAAAAAGAGGGAACGTATATGCATGTGTTGGATGAAGATCAAGGGTGAAATAGATTCGTCAGTTGTTGAAACTTAACCTGTGCACGAACAGCAACAGCAATTTTCCTTCTAATTTTCCTTCTGGTTGAAAATGCAACTTTACAACATCATAAACATGTCATAATGACATGTTGAAAATATCGATATAGTAAATATATTGCTAGATGATACAATTAAGAATTCTTTCCATTTGAAATGGTATTCTTTGCAATCTACATGTAGTAGAAAACATTGTAATTAGTACACACCGACACGGAGATATAGTCCAAATCCTCTGCGATGACATTTAACACGACAGTAACCGAGGAATAGTCACGGCTGGACAGGCTTGTTTCCACCTGATCTGATGACGTCAGGACCTTCTGCCACAGTCCGATTGGTCCATCGGGCGGAAGGACCTAATGGGTGACAGTGATCAATCAACTAATCAATCAATCAATCAATCAATCAATCAATCAACCATTCAATCAATCAAGCCTTCTAAACAAAGATATCTAACTTACCCTCATAGATGTACATTATAACATATAATGTATACCACACACGATAACAGTGATACGTATTTCAACAGTATTTTTCAACAATGATGATGACGATGAGTTATTGCTTTACTCACTACAATGTCGACCCTGCACATCGCCACTGACAGGTCATCGCCGACCGCCAGCACGTTTATGGGGACGACAAAGTTGTCGGCTGCACTGCCTGCTAGGATGCTAGGAGTTTCAACAGAATTGAGTCTTGAATTTTGAGCTAAAGTTGATACGTCTGTTGTAATTGTATAGGTCACAGGATGCGCATTGAGATTCACTCCATGTTCACTGCGTGGTTCCACCTCGAGTACTGCGGTGATGGCGAAGTTTGTCTGCCACGAGAAACCTATACAACAACAAGGTACAACTCATTAAAACGCAAAGCCCCGCCTCTGTCCAAACGTAGAAACGCAAAACGAAAACATAAAAAATGCAGATATTTGCTGAACCTGTAACTACTTTCTCATTAATTGGTGAACGTTATTTCCATGCTATCAGTGGTTGAAGTGTATTTGTTAAGAGCAGTCAGGATTGGTGTATTGAATGTGCAAAAAAAGATACCTATGAAGGCATCGACATGTGCAATGCATGTGTGAGGACAGAAAATCTTCAAGAAGATGAATCGGTTGGTTACAATATCAAAACAGTATTTAGCGTTACAAAACACACTCAGGTAAAACACTGAGACGGAGCCACATTC